AGTGAATTGGCAGAAAAAGTAGGCATATTTCATCCTTGATCGTAGTTGTAGGAGTTTTGACAGCCATTGGTTGCTGCGTTATCCCCCGTGTAAGAGGACTAGTACAGTGGTTAACTGAAACCGCACTATTGAAACGAATGACCATGGAGCCACCACCTTACTCAGATAAGGTGACAATGAGGAGATGGAAAGCGAAGGAGAAGAAGAAATCTACCAAATTACACCTTAGAGAAAGGTTTTTCAAAAATCAACGGTTTATAAAGAAGAAAAGGGGGGAATTGTCATTTATAACGGTTGGGGGCTCGTCCGGGATGGCTTTGGTTCCTGAATTCTGATTTGATCTAGGAGAGGCGCCCCACCATTTGGTGGCTCCTGTTCGAGTCAGGTCGGGACTAATGCCATCTTGAACCTGAATAAAGGTAAGCAAAGAATTGATTTTGTTATGAGCTCCCTTGCCGGCTGCAGCACTGTATTTTGCCCGTAATTCTGCGCGCGGAGATCCAACGAAGACGACGGAGTCGTAAGCATTTAAGGCGTGTACCGTTCGGTTGGGTGGGATTCGGTTGCCTGTGTGTGTGAGAGTGTGACTGAGACGGAACTTAGTTCCGAAGCGAGTGCGGAGGTCTTCTAACCGCGGCTCCGTCTCCCGCGAGGGACTTGGCCGGTGAAGGACCGAAGCGATTCCTATAGCATTCGTGGGTGGGTGATAGGTCCTAAACCCCCTGCAAGACACTCTTACTAAGGTAACCAAGGGCTGTGGGAATTGCCATAGTAAAATTCCTAGATGGTTCAGACAGAATTGAAGACCAAGGACCAGAAGAAAGGGAGCAAATTACCAGACATACCACCAGAAAGTCCATTAAGGAATAATGATTAGCGGACGCCCCTAGGTGCACCCTGAGTGTTTTGCTCGGAGGGGACTCCACTCTCGGCCGCTCACCGCAGGAGCAGACAAAGGCCTCCTGAAGCTGCGGACAAGCGGTATGTTTTCAGCTGCTGGAGGGATACTAACTGGAGTGTTAATAATTGTATGTCTTATTCTTAAACGTCCAGGTATTTTGTGTTGAAAGCATTTGTGTAAGTGTAAGGGTTTGAAACCAAGTGGAATGAGTCACTCCACGAAGAACACGGTCAGAGACAATACTCGTTTGGTTGGTTATCATTCTAAATTATATTCTTGTGGTATGAATGAGATGTGCTAGAGGCCTCTCTGTGTGATTGCATGATTGTGCTGTGGGAGTGAGACGCAGCGTCGCTGCGAAGCGAGTGCGGAGTTCCGATCCGCGGTTCCGTGTTCTCCGTGAGGGGAGCGGCCGGAGACGAGCGAAGTGCGTGACAGACCGAAAAGAAGTGCTGTTTTATCCAAGTGTTGATTGGTGGTGCCCAATATATGGGCCTGGCAGTGTATCTTGTGATCCTATTTTTGCTCTTAAATGCTTTGAGTGTGACAAGAAAAAAGGCGGGAGCATTATCTAAGTAACTAACAGTTTAGAAGCCCTGGCGTATTTGCTGTGGTGTTTGGTCAGTTTCCCAAGTACTGGAGAGGGGGAGGGGGCTGACTGATTATCGAAGCGGTAGAACGGAGAGAGTCATTTCTTTGGTGGTTCGGGTTTGAGCCCTGGGAATTCGGTAAGAAGGGGGAGAGCGAATTTATTTAGGCCTCAATACCTTTTTAAACCCCCCATATTGACGGATACACAGGAGTGATTCCTTGTTTTGTATGGGCTCACTAAGAAAGCGCATGAGAAAAATCGGCTTGAAATTCGGTCCTGTTGAAATGTCAATTTTGTGGAAACGGTGGTCATGTTCGTCTAGAAGACGGAAGGCTGAGTGCTTCAGCTGTTTTCCTGAAGTTCCGTGGCTTTATGATTGGAACGGGGCTCATTAATAATCTGAAATAGTAAAGTTTGTACGTGGGAAGAAGCGTTCAATCCCAGAGAATTGGGGCATTAGGGAAGAAGATTAGGAAAAGATGGTAAAAAACCCGCAGTAAAAAGGTTTGCGTGGAAATTGAAGCAAAGGACGGTAACTAGTAAGGAATAGTAATAAACAAATAAATAAAAGGGAATGGGAAATCAAGGAAACGGGTAACATCCAAAACAAAGACGTTTTAAAGAAAGCCTCCTTGGGTGCATATTGGCACATTCGAAGGATATTGTTAGAACTGGGGGCAGGGAAAGGAAGAGGACTTTCACTAAGTATTGCAATCAATGGTGGCCACTACATAAGCTAAATGGCCACTTTATGGATCAATCGACTATAAGGCTATCTTGCAACTAATGTTTTTGAGGAGAGAAGGAAAATAGGATGAAATGTAGTATACTGATAGGTTGTTTCAGCATCTTAGAGAGAAAAGGAGTGGAATTAATTGGCCCTTGACTGAGCCTTTGGTGTTGGCATGAGAAAAGTACAGGCTGGAGAAAGATAAAAGGAAGTGTTAAAAGAGTTGTCGACGGTGTTAAAGGTGCGGCATGTAGTATTTAACAGAGCTGTTTGAAGTTGAATGAGCAGGGAAAGAGGATGTAGGAATGTTAATAGTTCTGCCTCAACAGGAGGCTGTGATCTCAAAATCACCGGTGTGAGCCCTTTGGGGCAGAGGGACCATGATGGGTCCGAGAGAGTTGTCATGGAAACAGAAGAGCAGCTAACTCTTAAAACAACCTGAGTTTATGAGTGAGCTCAGATTGCCGATGGGACCGCTCAGGGAACTGCTGACAATTGCATTCCCCTGACCGACCCCCACTGAGACTATAGTCACCCCGGAAATAATGAACGGTAAATACCAAAATCTGGTTAAATTGGGAATGGAGAATCAGTTCCAACAAGGTCCAAAAGAAACCCCTATGGAATTTTTGGACCAACTTTGAAATGCAATGGAAAACAAAACAAAACAAACAAACGAAACAGGAGAAAATGGGGGCTAAGTTAGAACAAGGAAAATGGACGCTGCCAGACAGGCGAGAGATACGGCCAAAAGCTTATGCGAAGCAAATACTGGGACGTTTGCATGCACAAACACATTGGGGTACAAAGGTGTTAAGTGATCATTTACTAAAACAATTTGGTTGCATTGTTTGTTTTTGAAATAGCAAAGCAAATTACACCACGTTGCTTAACTTGTCAGAAGATAAATAAGAAAGTGTTTTGACAAGCAGCCGCGGGAGGGAGAAAAACAGCTTATAGGCCTTTCGAGAGGGTACAAGTTGGTTTCACTGAATTGCCCCAGGTAGGGAGGATAAGATATCTATTGGTAATAGTAGATCACTTAACGCAATGGGTAGAAGCTTATCCCGTAGCAGGAGCTACGGCACAAATGGTGGCAAAAATTCTATTAGAACACCTGATACCTAAATACGGGATAATCCAGTACATTGATTCTGTTCAGGGCACACACTTTACTTCTAAAATAATAAAAGTATTCTGTCAATCATTGGGTATTCAGTGGGAATACCATACTCTGTGGCACCCACAAAGCTCAGGGAAAGTAGAAAGATTGAATCAAACAATAAAACAACAATTGGCTAAATCAATGATCGAGACACAAATGCCCTGGATGAAATGCTTACCATTGGCACTTCTAAACATAAGAACTAAACCACACAGTGAGACTGGATTATCGCCATATGAAATGTTATATGGTATGCCTTATTCTCAAGGGATGCCTCTAGGGAACAATGTAGTTGAGGGTCGTAGCATGCAGAAATATATAATTACTATTGGAAGGAGATTGCAAGAGCTAAGAGAAATTGGAGTGATGGCTCAAACGCCACCTTTAGGATTTGCTATTCATAAGATACAACCAGGGGACAAGGTCTTAATAAAAACCTGGAGGGAAGAATCATTGAACCCCCGGTGGGAGGGACCGTACCTTGTTTTACCTGCACATCCAGAATAAAAGGACCAGTAAGTACCGAAACTTGGAGGGTTGAGTCCGCTCCTGGGGAACTGAAACTAAAGCTAGAGAAGAACTAATGTTCTGGCAGTGACGCTCTGCATGAATTAAGGACGCCAAATAAAGGGGACAAGCCTAAAGGGAGGAAAGGGAGAAGGCAAGACCGGGGCAGGACTCTCCACTGCGGTGTGTATGGTCTACCGAGGGAGGCAACCCCTATGGGTACTGACCGCCGAGTGAGAGGGCCTCGACCCGACTTCTCCCACGCTAAGGTCAGGTTGTCCCGAGAAAATAACATAAGAACCTTTTTTATAAACCCATATAAAATTGTGATTTGTTTTCCAGGAGCTGGATCACCCCGACAGGCTGAACTGAATGGTAACACAAGCCCCAATCGACCCTGAAAGCGGGCCCAACCCCTTGATTGAAGGCGTCTTGCCTATTATGATCTGTGAGGAATGTTTTAACAATTCGTGTCAATGGAGAGCTTGAAGGAAAATGTATTCGTATGTTCTTTCCTTGAAGTCTCTGATACCTGGGGGTTTCAGAACAACTGCTAACTGTTATGACTTCTGAATGGGACACTATGCAAGCCCCTGATATCTGGCCAGGAGATTAAGGAGAAGGGAAAAGCTGAAGGACGGCTAAAAGACAAAGCTTGCAGGGAACGCTGTGCAAGCTTTTGACATACAGCCAAGGAGTACAAAGAAGAAGGACAAGAAAAAAAAAAAAAGCCTGAGAGGAAGACTATGAGCCTTCATCATGAAAGACCCCCAGAGGGAGCACCAGAGACTGATACGCATGCTCCAGTAGGAGGGTTCAAATTCCGGAACTAATTATAATAACTCCGTTGTTTGTTTTTTTTAGAAATAGTAATGAATATGTATTAGTCTAGGAGCATAAAAAATCAGCATCTTGATGTAACGGGTGTGCGACCAGGTGGAGCGGAGACTCCCGGCGCACCCAGCGCTGTTTGCCAGCGCTGTTTGCTTACCTCTATTCTTTTAATAAATTGTAAACTTTGATTATAATCCTATTTTGGGACTGAGCTATTTATAACAACTTAGGGGGCTCGTCCGGGATGGTTTTGGTTCCTGGATTTTAATCTAGGAGAGGCGCCCCCACCATTTGGTGGCTCCTGTCCGGAACCAATGCCATCTTGAACCTGAATAAAGGTAAGCAAAGATTTTGATTTTGTTATGAGCTCCCTTGCCGGCTGCAGCATTGTTTTTGCCCGTAATTCTGCGCGCGAAGATCCGAACGAAGACGACGGAGTCGTAAGCATTTAAGGCGTGTACCGTTCGGTTGGGTGGGATTCGGTTGCCTGTGTGTGTGTAAGAGTGTGACTGAGACGGAACGTAGTTCCGAAGCGAGTGCGGAGGTCTTCTAACCGATAAGCAAATACTGGGACGTTTGCATGCACAAACACATTGGGGTACAAAGGTGTTAAGTGATCATTTACTAAAACAATTTGGTTGCATTGTTTGTTTTTGAAATAGCAAAGCAAATTACACCACGTTGCTTAACTTGTCAGAAGATAAATAAGAAAGTGTTTTGACAAGCAGCCGCGGGAGGGAGAAAAACAGCTTATAGGCCTTTCGAGAGGGTACAAGTTGGTTTCACTGAATTGCCCCAGGTAGGGAGGATAAGATATCTATTGGTAATAGTAGATCACTTAACGCAATGGGTAGAAGCTTATCCCGTAGCACGAGCTACGGCACAAATGGTGGCAAAAATTCTATTAGAACACCTGATACCTAAATACGGGATAATCCAGTACATTGATTCTGCTCAGGGCACACACTTTGCTTCTAAAATAATAAGATTATTCTGTCAGTCATTAGGTATTCAGTGGGAATATTCTAAGTGGTATTGGAATATTCTAAGTGGTATTCTTTATCTGCTAGATTATTTCCTCCGGTGTGGTAATCTAATTAGGTATTCAGTGGGAAAATTCTAAGGAGAATCTCCATCCTTTACTGGATGCGGGGGGGGAAACCTTGTTACAAAAGATGAGGAAAAGGCGGAGGTGCTTATGCCTTCTTTGCCTGTCTTTAGCGGCAATACCGGTTGTTCTCTGGCTACCCGGTACCCTGAGCTGGCAGAAGGGGATGGGGAGCTGAATGTGGCCCTCACTATCCACGAAGAAATGGTTGGTGACCTGGTATGGCACTTGGATGTGCGCAAGTCGATGGGGCCGGATGGGATCCACCCGAGGGTACTGAGAGAACTGGCAGAGGAGCTGGCCAAGCCGCTTACCATCATTTATCAACAGTCCTGGCTATCGGGGGAGGTCCCAGTTGACTGGCGGCTAGCAAATGTGACGCCCATCTACAAGAAGGGCCGTAGGGCAGACCCGGGGAACTATAGGCCTGTCAGTTTGACCTCAGTGCCAGGGAAGCTCATGGAGCAGATTATCTTGAGAGTCATCACGCGGCACTTGCAGGGCAAGCAGGCGATCAGGCCCAGTCAGCATGGGTTTATGAAAGGCAGGTCCTGCTTGACGAGCCTGATCTCCTTCTATGACAAAGTGACGCGCTTGGTGGATGAGGGAAAGGCTGTGGATGTGGTCTACCTTGACTTCAGCAAGGCTTTTGACACCGTTTCCCACAGCATTCTCCTCAGGAAACTGGCTGCTCTTGGCTTGGACTGGCGCACGCTTCGTTGGGTTAGAAACTGGCTGGATAGCCGGGCCCAAAGAGTCGTGGTAACTGGAGTCAAATCCAGTTGGAGGCCGGTTACTAGTGGCGTTCCCCAGGGCTCGGTGCTGGGGCCGGTCCTCTTTAATATCTTCATCGATGATCTGGATGAGGGCATTGAGGGTACCCTCAGTAAGTTCGCAGATGACACCAAGTTAGGTGCGTGTGTCGATCTGCTCGAGGGTAGGAAGGCTCTGCAGGAGGATCTGGATAGGCTGGACCGATGGGCTGAGGTCAACTGCATGAAGTTCAACAAGGCCAAGTGCCGGGTCCTGCACCTGGGGCGCAATAACCCCAAGCAGAGCTACAGGCTGGGAGAGGAATGGTTGGAAAGCTGCCAGGCGGAGAAGGACCTGGGAGTATTGGTTGATAGTCGGCTGAATATGAGCCAGCAGTGTGCTCAGGTGGCCGAGAAGGCCAACGGCATCCTGGCTTGTATAAGAAGCAGTGTGGCCAGCAGGGCTAGGGAAGTGATCGTCCCCCTGTACTCGGCTCTGGTGAGGCCGCACCTCGAGTACTGTGTTCGGTTTTGGGCCCCTCGCTCCAAGAAGGACATGGAGGTGCTTGAGCGAGTCCACAGAAGGGCGACGAAGCTGGTGAGGGGTCTGGAGAACAAGTCCTACGAGGAGCGGCTGAGGGAGCTGGGCTTGTTCAGCCTGGAGAAGAGGAGGCTCAGGGGCGACCTTATCACTCTCTACAGGTACCTTAAAGGAGGCTGTAGCGAGGTGGGGGTTGGTCTGTTCTCCCACGTGCCTGGTGACAGGACGAGGAGGGGGAATGGGCTAAAGTTGCGCCAGGGGAGTTTTAGGTTGGATGTTAGGAAGAACTTCTTTACCGAAAGGGTTGTTAGACATTGGAACAGGCTGCCCAGGGAAGTGGTGGAGTCACCATCCCTGGAAGTCTTTAAAAGATGTTTAGATGTAGAGCTTAGGCATATGGTTTAGAGGGGACTGTTAGCGTTAGGTCAGAGGTTGGACTCGATGATCTTGAGGTCTCTTCCAACCTAGAAATTCTGTGATTCTGTGAATATCATACTCCATGGCACCCACAAAGCTCAGGGAAAGTAGAAAGATTGAATCAAACAACAAAAAAAAACCAACAATTGGCTAAATCAATGATCGAGACACAAATGCCCTGGATGAAATGCTTACCATTGGCACTTCTAAACATAAGAACTAAACCACACAGTGAGACTGGATTATCGCCATATGAAATGTTATATGGTATGCCTTATTCATAGGGAATGCCTCTGGGAAACAATGTAGTTGAGGATCGTAGTATCCAGAAATACATAATTACTGTTGGGAAAAGATTGCAAGAGCTAAGAGAAATTGGAGTGATGGCTCAGACACCACCTTTAGGATTTGCTATTCATAAGATACAACCAGGGGACAAGGTCTTAATAAAAACCTGGAGAGAAGAATCATTGCACCCCCGGTGGGAGGGACCGTACCTTGTTTCACTTACCACTGAAACAGCTGTGAGAACAGCAGAAAGGGGTTGGACCCATGCATCCAGAGTAAAAGGACCAATAAATACCAAAACTTGGAGGGTTGAGTCCGCTCCTGGGGAACTGAAATTAAAGCTAAAAAAGAACTAATGTTCTGGCAATAAGGCTCTGCATAAACTAAGGATGCCAGAAGAAGGGGACAAGCCTGAAGGGAAGAAAGGGAGAAGGCAAGACCGGGGCAGGACTCTCCACTGCGGTGTGTATGGTCTACCGAGGGAGGCAACCCCTATGGGTACTGACCGCCGAGTGAGAGGGCCTCGACCCGAGTTCTCCCACGCTAAGGTCAGGTTGTCCCGAGAAAATAACATAAGAACCTTTTTTATAAACCCATATAAAATTGTGATTTGTTTTCCAGGAGCTGGATCACCCCGACAGGCTGAACTGAATGGTAACACAAGCCCCAATCGACCCTGAAAGCGGGCCCAACCCCTTGATTGAAGGCGTCTTGCCTATTATGATCTGTGAGGAATGTTTTAACAATTCGTGTCAATGGAGAGCTTGAAGGAAAATGTATTCGTATGTTCTTTCCTTGAAGTCTCTGATATCTGGGGGTTTCAGAACAACTGCTAACTGTTATGACTTCTGAATGGGACACTATGCAAGCCCCTGATATCTGGCCAGGAGATTAAGGAGAAGGGAAAAGCTGAAGGACGGCTAAAAGACAAAGCTTGCAGGGAACGCTGTGCAAGCTTTTGACATACAGCCAAGGAGTACAAAGAAGGACAAGAAAAAAAAAAAGCCTGAGAGGAAGACTATGAGCCTTCATCATGAAAGACCCCCAGAGGGAGCACCAGAGACTGATACGCATGCTCCAGTAGGAGGGTTCAAATTCCGGAACTAATTATAATAACTCCGTTGTTTGTTTTTTTTTAGAAATAGTAATGAATATGTATTAGTCTAGGAGCATAAAAAATCAGCATCTTGATGTAACGGGTGTGCGACCAGGTGGAGCGGAGACTCCCGGCGCACCCAGCGCTGTTTGCCAGCGCTGTTTGCTTACCTCTATTCTTTTAATAAATTGTAAACTTTGATTATAATCCTATTTTGGGACTGAGCTATTTATAACAACTTAGGGGCTCGTCCGGGATGGTTTTGGTTCCTGGATTTTAATCTAGGAGAGGCGCCCCCACCATTTGGTGGCTCCTGTCCGGAACCAATGCCATCTTGAACCTGAATAAAGGTAAGCAAAGATTTTGATTTTGTTATGAGCTCCCTTGCCGGCTGCAGCATTGTTTTTGCCCGTAATTCTGCGCGCGAAGATCCGAACGAAGACGACGGAGTCGTAAGCATTTAAGGCGTGTACCGTTCGGTTGGGTGGGATTCGGTTGCCTGTGTGTGTGTAAGAGTGTGACTGAGACGGAACGTAGTTCCGAAGCGAGTGCGGAGGTCTTCTAACCGATAAGCAAATACTGGGACGTTTGCATGCACAAACACATTGGGGTACAAAGGTGTTAAGTGATCATTTACTAAAACAATTTGGTTGCATTGTTTGTTTTTGAAATAGCAAAGCAAATTACACCACGTTGCTTAACTTGTCAGAAGATAAATAAGAAAGTGTTTTGACAAGCAGCCACGGGAGGGAGAAAAACAGCTTATAGGCCTTTCGAGAGGGTACAAGTTGGTTTCACTGAATTGCCCCAGGTAGGGAGGATAAGATATCTATTGGTAATAGTAGATCACTTAACGCAATGGGTAGAAGCTTATCCCGTAGCAGGAGCTACGGCACAAATGGTGGCAAAAATTCTATTAGAACACCTGATACCTAAATACGGGATAATCCAGTACATTGATTCTGCTCAGGGCACACACTTTGCTTCTAAAATAATAAGATTATTCTGTCAGTCATTAGGTATTCAGTGGGAATATTCTAAGTGGTATTGGAATATTCTAAGTGGTATTCTTTATCTGCTAGATTATTTCCTCCGGTGTGGTAATCTAATTAGGTATTCAGTGGGAAAATTCTAAGGAGAATCTCCATCCTTTACTGGATGCGGGGGGGGAAACCTTGTTACAAAAGATGAGGAAAAGGCGGAGGTGCTTATGCCTTCTTTGCCTGTCTTTAGCGGCAATACCGGTTGTTCTCTGGCTACCCGGTACCCTGAGCTGGCAGAAGGGGATGGGGAGCTGAATGTGGCCCTCACTATCCACGAAGAAATGGTTGGTGACCTGGTATGGCACTTGGATGTGCGCAAGTCGATGGGGCCGGATGGGATCCACCCGAGGGTACTGAGAGAACTGGCAGAGGAGCTGGCCAAGCCGCTTACCATCATTTATCAACAGTCCTGGCTATCGGGGGAGGTCCCAGTTGACTGGCGGCTAGCAAATGTGACGCCCATCTACAAGAAGGGCCGTAGGGCAGACCCGGGGAACTATAGGCCTGTCAGTTTGACCTCAGTGCCAGGGAAGCTCATGGAGCAGATTATCTTGAGAGTCATCACGCGGCACTTGCAGGGCAAGCAGGCGATCAGGCCCAGTCAGCATGGGTTTATGAAAGGCAGGTCCTGCTTGACGAGCCTGATCTCCTTCTATGACAAAGTGACGCGCTTGGTGGATGAGGGAAAGGCTGTGGATGTGGTCTACCTTGACTTCAGCAAGGCTTTTGACACCGTTTCCCACAGCATTCTCCTCAGGAAACTGGCTGCTCTTGGCTTGGACTGGCGCACGCTTCGTTGGGTTAGAAACTGGCTGGATAGCCGGGCCCAAAGAGTCGTGGTAACTGGAGTCAAATCCAGTTGGAGGCCGGTTACTAGTGGCGTTCCCCAGGGCTCGGTGCTGGGGCCGGTCCTCTTTAATATCTTCATCGATGATCTGGATGAGGGCATTGAGGGTACCCTCAGTAAGTTCGCAGATGACACCAAGTTAGGTGCGTGTGTCGATCTGCTCGAGGGTAGGAAGGCTCTGCAGGAGGATCTGGATAGGCTGGACCGATGGGCTGAGGTCAACTGCATGAAGTTCAACAAGGCCAAGTGCCGGGTCCTGCACCTGGGGCGCAATAACCCCAAGCAGAGCTACAGGCTGGGAGAGGAATGGTTGGAAAGCTGCCAGGCGGAGAAGGACCTGGGAGTATTGGTTGATAGTCGGCTGAATATGAGCCAGCAGTGTGCTCAGGTGGCCGAGAAGGCCAACGGCATCCTGGCTTGTATAAGAAGCAGTGTGGCCAGCAGGGCTAGGGAAGTGATCGTCCCCCTGTACTCGGCTCTGGTGAGGCCGCACCTCGAGTACTGTGTTCGGTTTTGGGCCCCTCGCTCCAAGAAGGACATGGAGGTGCTTGAGGGAGTCCACAGAAGGGCGACGAAGCTGGTGAGGGGTCTGGAGAACAAGTCCTACGAGGAGCGGCTGAGGGAGCTGGGCTTGTTCAGCCTGGAGAAGAGGAGGCTCAGGGGCGACCTTATCACTCTCTACAGGTACCTTAAAGGAGGCTGTAGCGAGGTGGGGGTTGGTCTGTTCTCCCACGTGCCTGGTGACAGGACGAGGAGGGGGAATGGGCTAAAGTTGCGCCAGGGGAGTTTTAGGTTGGATGTTAGGAAGAACTTCTTTACCGAAAGGGTTGTTAGACATTGGAACAGGCTGCCCAGGGAAGTGGTGGAGTCACCATCCCTGGAAGTCTTTAAAAGATGTTTAGATGTAGAGCTTAGGCATATGGTTTAGAGGGGACTGTTAGCGTTAGGTCAGAGGTTGGACTCGATGATCTTGAGGTCTCTTCCAACCTAGAAATTCTGTGATTCTGTGAATATCATACTCCATGGCACCCACAAAGCTCAGGGAAAGTAGAAAGATTGAATCAAACAACAAAAAAAAAACAACAATTGGCTAAATCAATGATCGAGACACAAATGCCCTGGATGAAATGCTTACCATTGGCACTTCTAAACATAAGAACTAAACCACACAGTGAGACTGGATTATGAGCCTTCATCATGAAAGACCCCCAGAGGGAGCACCAGAGACTGATACGCATGCTCCAGTAGGAGGGTTCAGATTCCGGAACTAATCATAATAACTCCGTTGTTTTTTTTAGAAATAGTAATGAATACGTATTAGTCTAGGAGCATAAAAAAATCAGCATCTTGATGTAACGGGTGTGCGACTTGGTGGAGCGGAGACTCCCGGCGCACCCAGCGCTGTTTGCTTACCTCTATTCTTTTAATAAATTGTAAACTTTGATTATAATCCTATTTTGGGACTGAGCTACTTATAACATGATCCAGCTACGTGGGCAGAAGACGGATCCTGGGGCTATAGGACCCCAATATATATGCTTAATAGAATAATTAGGTTAGAAGCTGTAATAGAAATAGTTGTAAATAAAACCGGAGATGCACTTGGATTAATTGCAAGGCAAAATACTAAGATGAGGACTGCTTTGTATCAAAATCGCTTAGCTTTGGATTATTTGCGCAAGAAGGAGAAGTCTGTGGAAAATTTAACCTTAGTAATTGCTGTTTTATAGATTGGTGATGAAGGTGTTTCTTCCTAGTAGCTGGTAGAATGCTATGTTTTGGCTTAGGATGAGAAGAGTGCTGATAACATGCTGATGTTTTAATTGTTGCAGAGCAGTGCTTAGGCCAAGCCAAGGGCGTTTCAGCTTCTCACTCTGTCCTGCCAGCGAGCAGGCTGGGGGTGCAGCAAGAGCTGGGAGGAGGGCCGGACTGCTCGGGGTTAGGCTGGGCATCGGACAGCGGGTGGTGAGCAATTGCATTGTGCATCACTTGTTTCATACACGTTATTATTAGTAATACTATTATCATAACGATTGTCTTTATTGTTATTGTTATTATTTATCTGTCTTTATCTCAACTCACGGGCTTCGCTTTCCCGTTTCTCTCCCCATCCCAGAGAGGGAGGGGAGAGGGTGAGCGAACGGCTGTGTGGTGTTTAGCTGCCGGCCGGGTTAAACCACAACAGAAGGAAAAGCTGTAAATGAACTTGTAAAAGAAACGAAGAAAATTGCACATGCCCCAGTTCAAACTCGCAATGGAATCGAGCTAGGAGGATTATCGGGGGGGGGGGGGGGGGGCTTTATGGGTGTTGATTGGCTTACTAAAAGTGGGATGGTTGTACTGGGGGGATATGTGGAGGATTTTAATAATTCCATGTTTTACCAGACCAATACACTCGGTTATACAAGGAATGCAAATACCTGCGGTACCTGTTGTGGGAATAGAAATGTTGTTTTTGCAGAGTTCCGTTGTTTAGAGGGAAGGAACGTGGTACTGAGATATGCTTGCAGTGATAAGAAAGCTTAGCAGGCGACCTCGTAAAATGCAGACAACCGGACTCCTTAGGACAATTAGGTGAAAATGGCGGTGTCAAGTCAGATAAGTGAAGAAACATTACCACATCAGATAGGTTGTGAACCTGGATTACCCCCTCAGTGGGGAAACAGGGGAGGGTCCTGTCATCAAAAAGCGTATAAACTGTGTTTTGGAACTAGTAGGCGCGCTCTCCTGCTTGTGGGGCGCCCGCCATTGCAATCAATCGCGAGTAAATTACTACTTCGCTGAGATCCTCGCCTGAGCCTAAGCTATCGGCTACGGAGCGTTTCTCACCCTCCCTTCCAACCCAAGCCACGCTCTGATTCTATGAGCGGAGCGCCTGTTCTGTGGAGCTCGTTTCCCAGCCGTGCAGGGCCCAGATTCCCTCCGCGGAGCCGCCCAGCCCGTTTTCGGGCGCCCACTTCCTCCCTCCCGGTCGGCTCCCTCCGCGCCCCGAGGGCACGCGACCTCCCTGAGCGCCGATAAGCACCGGGTCGACGGGAGCGGAGCCGCCGAGAGGGCGGGGACAAGGGAAGAGGGCAGGCGAGGCAGCCAATCGAGGCGCGGGGGCGGTCGGCGGCGATCTGTCGGCCCAATGAGCGCCGCGGAGGGCCGGGCCGAGTGCGGGAAGTGAGGGGGCGTTGTACCGAGCGGGCGCCGTCATGGCCGACGGGATTGTTAGGGCGCAGGCCGCCTGGCCCGGTGGCGGCGCTGCCGCTGCTTTCGGAGAGGTCGCCTGCAAGGGCAAGGAGGTCCCCGCCAACGTTCTCCGTGAGGATGAGCGGTCGTGGACGAGGAGGTAGCCGCGGCGTTGTTGTGCGAGTCTTTCCTTCCTTTCCCTCGGCCGCTCGCAGGCCCTCTGAAACGAGGGCCCGTCGCGGGTCCCGGGAGTGCGGCAGGGCGGGTGGTGGCCTTGCTGCGGGAGGGAGGGAGGGAGGGACGGTCGGTCGGTCGGTCGGTCGGGGTCTCTCCGGCTCGTGGCGCTCTCTACTGCAGCGCCTCTAAAACGCCGCGCTTCTTCGGTGCCTGCCCCCGGGGTGCCACGGCGCGTACTGGGTCGCCGGCGCAGTCGGTCTCCTTGGGGGTTCGGACTGTATGCATATAGGCAGTGAGCATCGCAGTAGTGACCGTAATCAGTCGTTTCTGCGCTGGTGATAGCGTTGCAGAGACGCCCCGGCTCGGCTGTGCTAGGCTTTGGTTATGGCACCACCCCCACCGCGCACACGAGCGCACGCTCTCTCCAAAGTGGCTTGTGAAAGGGAAGAATTGCAGCTTTTCCTAGCTTTCTTAAACGCCTAGAAACCAGTCAATCCCGCAGGCTGCGAGAGCTTCCCAGCTCTCATTTCCGTGCTGGAGGTGGGCCGTGATAAGAGCATGCTGGCAAGGTTCACTGATGCTGGTGCGCCGCAACGTGCTAGGAGCTAAGTGAGCAGCTGCGGAGAGTTATGAAAAAGTTGCAGATGTTATCTGCAAGGTGCTAACTTTAAGTTAGTGTCCAGCCTAACCGTTGTTGCTGTTCTTAAATTTGAAATGCTAAAGATAGGACAGTTAGGGATTTCCTCTGCTTCTGACGGCAGGGTTTATCTGCAGCGTGGAAAACAGGCCCTTAGTGAAAGGGGCTGCGTTGCCCGCTCTGCGTGCTGACTCGTAGAATGGTTAGGCTTGGAAGGCACCCTTAAAGATCATCTAGCCCAACCCGCCTGCCGCGGTCAGGGACGTGTTTCACTAGATCGGGTTGCTCAAAGCGTTGACGCGTTGCTTGGAACAGCGCTTTCTTAATAGGTCTCGGTAATGTTGCAGCTGCCGCCCGTTTGGAGTACTGGAAGCGTTCAACTGCTCTCCGGAAACCGTGCTTGCGGTAGCGCCCTGCCTTTACCAAAGGGCGCGTTTCCTGTCTCCTTCGTGTTGAAGGCTGCGCGAGAAGTCTGTGTGTGTGTGTGTGTGTGTGTGCGCGTGCGCGCATCTGTTTTGACTCGGCCGTACTGGCTGCAGCAACGTATGTAACCTGAACGCTGTGCTTGATTGGAGAACCAGGCCGTTAACTTGAGTCTGATGAGTGACTTGAGAGCAGACAACCTACTCTGACCGCTCTTAGTGCGACACGTTTCCTGGAGGACGAATTAGTTGCAGTTTCTCGCTTGGTCTTAACTTGAGGCGGGGGGAGGGGGCGGGGGGCTTAGAACCACTTCTGGAGCGTAGTTGGCTCTAGCGAATGGTCTTGAATTTGCTTAGCTCACTGTACCGAAGGCCTGTTTCACGGTTGAGCGATGTTATAGGGAGGAGCGTGAGGAAGGCTTATAATTCTCGATTGTCGTGCAGTGAAAGGCGATGGTGAGTAAGAAGTACAAAGCATCTGTGGAATCGAGTCTTATCGGCGGTGTTTCAGTCGCATCTAAAACACATAAAAATAGCGGAAGTCGCTAACCTGAAGTACTCGGCTGTCTCGCTGCCCCCGTCACCTTGCGCGCTGGATCCTGCTTCTGGTGCCGTATGCAGTTTCTGTCTGCTGGTGATTTGGGGAGTTCCCTCGCAATTAGTTGCGAGTTGATGGTTTCCTACAGGTCGGTGGTATTCGTGTTTCGAAGGTGATGCCTTGGCCTCGGTCTGGAGGTGTCTGACGTCGGGCCGGCCGTAACGGGCTAATTTGGAACGTTCCTTCCCCTGAGTAGGTGGCGTTCTCGAGGACGGAGAGTTAATACGGCCTCAGCCGGATTACTCCAGGTTCTTTGAAGATGCCTTCCTGCCTCTGGCCGAGGCAATATTTGGACGTAACCGAAGGACGGTTAGCCATTGTTTGCCGCTTGTGTGTCTTGTGCGTAGAAGGTAGAGAACTTTGCCTATTCAAAGCTCGCTTAAGAAGAATGGCTGTTTTGTCGTGCGCGTTTGGGGCGCCTGATAATCTGCTTTGGTAGGGCGAGTTCAGTGGGGCATAGTGATTTGCTTAAGCTGTTGCCTTTCTCTGAAGCCGACTACGTTTTAACTGTTTACTCTTCCTCCAGTGCCTTGCGTTCCGTGATAGTTCGCCTCAGGCTCCAGTGTTTTTTCCTAGTCCTTCCTGAGAAGGTAGTTGTCCGGTTATGTGAAGCAGAAGATTCTGGCGGACCCTGTGAGTACTGTGGGAGCTTTCTGTTCGCTAGGCTGGCTGTACCTGTAACTGGTTTGTAACTTCCTAGACTCTTTCCCGTCCCCTCTTTTCCTCTGGATGTTGCAGAGGGGCGCACAGTAGGCTATTTGGGGTTGTCCGATGCTGTAGTCTTTCGCCTCTAGCTTGTAATGGAGCTGAGCTTTTTGACTGAGAGCAGTGATATAAAGCGATGCTCGTCTCCAGCTACGCGCTTGCAGTGCAAAAAGCAGCGTTGTTCCGACGTGCGGTCTGATGCCCGTTTTCACGCTTTCCGGACAGCGGGGGTGGTGCCTTGACTATGCAGAAGAGGGCTTGGGGTTTGGTCAGGTCAGAGGCGAGGAAAGGGAAAGCTGGTTGAGCGGCGCTTGGGTGTTTGTTTCGCTGTTAGCTATGCAAGTCAAGTTCCAAGGCTCTGTGAGCTCACGCAAGAGAAAAGGCACCGTGAAGCTTTTATTTTCCGCCAGAGCGGCTTACGTTGCCCGAAGCTATGACGGGGGCTTTAAGCCCCGAGACAAATTCAGCTTCTGTGACTGTTTTGTAGTCTGTTACTGTCTAGAGGGTAATTCAAAGAGCAGCGGTTGAATTGTGAAGGATTAGCTAACCGTGTTCTGTGGGTGGTTCTCTGCTCGCGTTCATTCTGTGCGTCGTGGCGCAGCACGTTAGGTGACGTTATTTCCTTTTTCCAGCTTCTTGGGCGTTTCGTGGTTGTTGGCAAGAAGTGTGCTGCTAACCTGGACCTGACCAATGGATTCCGGATGGCTGTGAATGCCCACCCTCGGGCCCTTCAGACTATCGCCGCCGAATAGGTTTCATATGTTGCCCATCAGTCTAGCCCCTGTTGATGTTTGATTTATTATTTTTTTTGGACGGCTGTCTATGGAGGGTAAGAAAGAGCTTTGAGCAGCGTTTGCACAATAAAGATGGAGCATGGGGATATCACCTCTGTCTTGCGTGTCTTACCGATGGAAATAGTTCCGCAAGTTAAAACGGCGTCTCCCTGGAGCGCACGTGTGTAGAATGTTTTGGTCCGTTGACAGTGTCGTGTAGGTGGTGGTTTGCCCATTCATTTGGAACGCGAAGCTAGAAGCGCTCGGCGGTCCTGTGGGTCTCCGTCTTCCTAAGACGATCTAGGATGTGCTGTGTGTTTGAGGCCTTGCTATCTTCCCCCTGCTCCCAAATAAAAGGGCACGCTTTTATTGCGAAATAGCCGTGTTGAGGACTGGCAGATGTAGAACCAGAGAAGAATAAGGTTGGAAGAAAGCTTCCAGGCATTGTCTGTTGTCTGCCCCTGTCCCGAGGAGGAGGCAGAACAAGCTCTACCGGGTGTGATTTCTGACAGGTGCTTGTCAGCCTGTTCTTGACTACCCTAGGAGTTTTGCTACCGCTTTCTTTTCAGTCCTCGTCGTGGCTTTCGCAACTTTGAGAAGGAATTCCTCCCACAGGATGTAGAAGGCTCTGGGATTCTTGAGTCGGCTTCTGATAAGTTCGAGACTCGGCTGCCGTTCTCTTTATTTTTTTTGTATTTATTTTTAGTGTCTTTTTTTTTTTTCCCTAAACGAAGTCCGTTGTTCAGTAACTAGAAGAAGGATTAGGTAAAGGCACCATAAGGCTTTTAAATGCGATCACCTCTCGTGCTTTGTTAGACCTCTGGCTTCGCTCTGCTCCTTGTTTAATCGCGATTACATTCAAGGCTTACTGGAGCGTGGGAACGTTAAAATGCTATTAAATACTCTTAGTGTTTGAAACTTGCTAAATGAGATGATTTTTGTGACTCCGTTCCTCATAAAGAAACTTGATTCGTTAGCAGGAGAAATGATCTTTGTTACTGGATCTGTTTGCGGGGTTAACGATTGCAGCTGTGAATGACTAAAGTCTTTTGAGGAAGCTGAATGATAAAAACCAAACCAAGAAACAGCCCTTGGTCTACTCGAAATAATATAGGATTTGCCGTTTGTGGGGTCACGTGAAAATAGTCGTGCAAGTCAACTAGTTTGGGGGGGAGGGGTGGGTGAAGGTGGAGATGCTGTTGCCCTTTCAGAGAAAGCTTCTTAAGTTGGCACTTGACCAACTGTTCTATTTCCGTATTTTCCCTTGGTCTCTTTCATTGATCTGTTTTGTTGACCTAGAAGAGCCGATGGAACTGCTCAAAGAAACGTGCTCAAGTGGACCTTGAGTAAGTATTTACATGTTCAACTGTTCCCCGGTCGGTCTAGCTAATGCTATCAGCGCTTGTATTCTTTTACAAAAGATGTTTAATTCCCGAGACAGGAGAGGAGGAAGACCACTGGTAATCTCTCTGCTTAAGAGGCACTGTTAGGCAACCGCAGAAGGCGAAGAAACTTGCCCCCGAGGCACCAATCTGACCCTTCTTTTAGCCTGTATGCTTTCAAAGAGCATATCATAGAAGCATAGATTGGGCAGGGTTGCCAACCACTAGAACAGGCTGCCCAGAGCTGCATCCAGCCTGGCCTTGAACGCCTCCAGGGATGGGGCATCCACGACCTCCCTGGGCAACCCGTTCCGGTGCCTCACCACTCTCTGAGTGAAAAACTTTCTCCTAATATCTAACCTAAATCTCCCCTGTCTTAGTTTAAAACCACTCCCCCTTGTCCTATCGCTATCAACGCGTGTATTTTTACTCCTGTTTATACAGAATCACAGAATCGTAGGGGTTGGAAGGGACCTCAAGAGATCATCGGGTCCAACCCCCCTGCCAAAGCAGGTTCCCTAGAGCAGGCTGCCCAGGTAGGCGTCCAGACGGGCCTTGAACATCTCCAGAGAAGGAGACTCCACAACCTCCCTGGGCAGCCTGTTCCAGTGCTCCGTCACCCGCACCGTGAAGCTGTTCTTTCGCACGTTGGTGCGGAACTTCCTGTGGTGGCTTTACCGTGCTAGGCAGCTAAACACCACAGCCGCTCTCTCGCTCCCCCTCCTTAGATGAGGAGGGGAAGAAGTAAAGGAAAGAACAACTCACGGGTTGAGATGAGGATAATTGAATTAAAGGGAAAAAATAATAATCTTTCCTTGATAATAATAACGATTATTATTATTAACTAAACAATTTAACTAAAGGGGAAAAAAAGGGAAAGGGAAAAAAGGAAAAAACCAAAACGAATAAAGGCTACGTGGAAGTGCAGAGGAAAGAAATTACTCTCTACTTCCCACAAATGAGCGATGCTTGACCACGTCCTTGAAGCAGGGCCTCAACGCGCGTAGCCGGTGTTCGGGAGGAAGACCGACGTTTTCACAAGGAGAGCCCAGCCTTCCCCTCTTCTTCCTGTTTCCACCTTTTATTGCTGAGTGTGACATCGTACGGTATGGAATATCCCTTTGGTTGGTTGAAGTCAGCTGCCCTGGTGATGTTTGTCTTCTCGCTTTTTTGCCCACCCCCTAGGAGGGTTAGAGAGAGTCCTGATGCTGTGCCAGCGCTGCTCGGCAGTAGACGCAACACTGGTGTGATACCACTGCTGTTCTAGCTACAAGTGCAGAGCACAGCACTGTATGGGCTGCTGCAGGGAAAGTTAACATCCCAGCCAGACCCAGTACAGGCCGTTGCCCCTTGTCCTATCCCCACTAACCACTGCAAAGAGGGTGGCGAAATCCCACTGTCTCCCACGCTGAAGGTATTTGTAAACATTGATAAGATCTCCTCTCAGTCTTCTCTTCTCCAGGCTGAACAGACCCAGGTCTCTCAGTCTTTGCTCATAGGGAAGATGCTCCAGGCCCCGTATCATCTTTGTTGCCCTCCGCTGGACTCTTTCCAGGAGATCCTTGTCTTTTTTTGTACCGGGGAGCCCAGAACTGGACACAGTACTCCAGGTGAGGCCTGCCCAGGGCAGAGTAGAGGGGGAGGATCACCTCCCTTGACCTGCTGGCCACGCTCCTTTTAATGCACGCCAGGATCCCATTGGCCTTCTTGGCCACCAGGGCGCACTGCTGGCTCGTGGTCAACCTGTCGTCCACCAGGACCCGCAGGTCCTTCTCCGCAGAGCTCCTCTCCAGCAGGTCATCCCCCAGCCTGTACTGATACATGCGGTTGTTCCTTCCCAGGTGCAGGACTCTACACTTGCTCTTGTTAAACTTCATTTGGTTTCTTCCCGCCCAGCTCTCCAGCCCGCCCAGGTCTCGCTGAATGGCAGCACAGCCTTCTGGCGTGTCGGCCACTCCTCCCAGCTTTGTATCATGGGTGTACTTGCGGAGGGTGGACACTATTCCCTCATCAAGGTCGTCGATGAAGATGTTGAACAAGACCGGACCCGGCACCGACCCCTGGGGAACACCGCTAGTCACAGATCTCCAGCCGGACTCTGCGCCGCCGATCGCCACCCTCTGAGCTCGGCCAGTCAGCCAGTTCTCAACCCACCTTACCGTCCACTTGTCTATCCCACGCCTTCTCAGCTTTGCTAGCAGGGTGTCGTGGGAGACAGTGTCAAAAGCCTTGCTAAAGTCAAGGTAGATGACGTCCACTGCTCTCCCTCCATCAACCCAGCTGGTGATGCCATCATAGAAGGCTACGAGGTTGGTCGAGCACGATTTCCCCTTGGTGAATCCATGCTGACTACTCCTCATAACTTTCTTCTCTTCCAGTGGCTTGGAGATGGCATCCGGAACAAGCTGTTCCAACAGCTTTCCAGGGACAGAGGTGAGACTGACCTTTCCAAGAGCTCCACATCCTTCTTGTGCTGGGGGCCCCAGGCCTGCACGCAGTATTCCGGGTGGGGTCTCCCAAGAGCAGGGTAGAGGGGGAGAATCACCTCCCTCTCCCTGCTGGCCACCCCTTTTTTTAATGCAGCCCAGGACTTAGTTGGCCTTCCGGGCTGCAAGCGTGCGCTGCTGGCTCACGTCCAGCTTCTTGTCCGTCAGGACCCCCAAGTCCTTCTCCGCGGGGCTGCTCTGAAGTTCTTC